ATAATATAGTAAGGATATGGCTAGTTATATTTAAGTTAATAATAGTTGTACATTTTAAGCTATAAAACATCTAACTTTTTAAATATGAATTTAATAATATTATCCGTGCGTACTCTGCTCTGCTAACAATATTGGTATTGTGTATCATAGTAAACAATTTAACATAATATTTAAATCTAATTTTCGATTATTTAAGAAAAACTTAATGTTCACTTTTTTATTTTTTCAAAGAAATAGTTAGTCGACACAATTACCATAATGGTACAATTATTCATATTAATTGAATTAATATTATATAATAATACTTTGTTATTACTGATAAAAATGTATCATACATATTTTATTTTAATACTTTGTTAAAAATATATTTGTCTAATTTATAAGAAAATGAATTATTAAATTACGATTATGGTGTACAAAAATATTTATACTTGTATTAAACTAGAGTTATAACTTAAATTTTCATAAATATCATCAAAAAATGGTTAAACGTAGTGAACAAAATCAAAATGTTCTTATTTATCAAAACATATTATACATTTTAAAAGTAGTTTTTTTTTTTGTACTTAATACACGGAGATAGTGGAGTATTTTTATTGAGAATTTATTTATTTTCAGTTTAAATTTTTTTTTTTTTTTTTTAATTTAAATTACTGAAAGTCGAGTTATCTATCCACGTTTCTATCAAATTTCGTTATAAATTTATTTTTCTATCCTCTATGGTTTTATCATAATGCGTGTGTATAAATATTAAAAAGTATTATTGCGTTATATTGATATATTATTATTCGATTTGGTTCGTAATAATTCTATAACTTATTATACTAATTCTTTATAAATGAAAACATGTAAAAATAAATTAAATTATTTTTGAAAATGCTGTCATTATATAATAAGTGTTTTATATTACATTTTATTTTACTATACATTTAAACACTCTTATATATTTTTTGTTCATAAATAATATTTCAAATATTTTTTTAGTTGCTAATATAAAAATAATCAATAATGGTAAACGCTCGTAAAAATAATATCATAAAAAAAAAAATTATCTGAATCATTAAATTATTTTACATTTTTATACTTTTGGAAAAACTTACTTAAAAAATAAATAAATATTGAAACATTAAAATACAATGATTGTTTATAATTTATTATATTTATTTTTTAGAATAAATTATACAATATTTTGATCTAAGGTATCTATATGTATTGTTATTGACTATATACTACGCCGGGTTACTATCTAAATATACAAATTTAATAATTATTATTACTTGAAAAATGCATATATTATAAATAGATATGTATTTTAAAAATGTTCTTCTTTAGTATTAATATTATAATTAAATATATTAAAGTAAAGTTATTAATTAAATAGTAAAATGTAAAAATAAAATATTATTTTATCAATACACTAATTTAAAAATAAAAATATCAGTTTATTTAATTTTTCATTCAATTTTAGACTTAATTTTCTACTTACAAAAAACAAATTTTAATTGTATATAAAGGAAATAAATTTGATTTGGTTGTTTTAATTAAAACTCTAAATTTATTAACTGAAAATTGAATTTTATTGTTTATAAAAATGAATATAAATATTAAACCGAACCTAGAAAAACTTTCATAGTCAAAATATTTCTATAAAAATTTAAAAGAAAGTTTTTTTAATATTTAAAGATTGAAAAAAAAATAGTTTCAACATGTAAGAATACCGAATAGTGAATATTATCTATACATATTTTAAATTGTATTTTTATACAAGAAATAAATAAAAAAAAACAAGTTCACGATATAAAAATAATATATGTCATTTAATTTTTCTAAATTTACATTTTTCGTTTCACAGCAATTTAATAAAATATAACACGCATGTGGCAGTACTATTTAGTCATTAAATTATGTAAACACACACATACACACTTCTTTTTGTGTTATTCAAAATATATAGTACATGAATTACTCAAATCGTTTTTTTTTTTTTTTTTTTTTAGGTCATAACGTATATTCTAATCAAATTGATTTTAACAATCAAAAAAAATGTTAGAACGTTTAATAACTGAATAAGAAATGTGTTAAATATTTTTTACAGTGAGTTCATACTTTTAAATTATTTTAATCATATTTTTAATAGGTAATAAAATGAAATAAAAATAGAAAGTAAATAGAGCGAAAATACTTAAATATCACATAAATATCTGAAAGTATAAAATATGAGATGTTACAAACTATGCATTTAAGTTTTTGTTACAATATTAGTGAATAACTATTTTTATGCTCAAAGATAATATTTTATTTTTAATATAAAAATAAAATATTTATATACATTTAAATATTTTTAAGATGTTCTATAGCCAAAAAAGTTTAATAATTTAAATACAATGAATATATAAATTAATTCAATTTTAAATTATAGTTATTATTGTAAGAAACTTTCTAAAACGAATCGATTTCTTTTACTTTTGGTGTAATTTTATGTACATTATATTTTATACAAAAATAATTATAATTTTCTCAAACAACATTCTTATTTTATAAGGTCACGAAAAAGATTATATTTAACTTATCAATTATGTCAGACAAACCTGCACATTTTAGGTAGGTATTCATAATTATACGCATCCTGAGTTATTGTATATTATTGTAATTCACTAGTCACTTTAATAGAGTATTACGTCCCAAAGGTATATATCAGTTTGCGGCCAGCTGTATTCGCTGTATACGCCACACGAGACGTTCGCCCAATAGTTTCGTGGTGACTTGATATATGAGTTGTGCGGGCGCTAATAAATTTTATTTATATACAAGCACACATATGCGAATCAACAAAGTTCAAGGCTTTCCGGAAATCAGTATCGGTGGAAGATAAAATAAAATTATAGTGATCGTTCACTGTGAAATGATTCGAATAACGCGTAACGATGACTCCACGGGGCGGCCACAGAAAATCAAGTTGCGCGTTTCTTTATAACAATATCGCATTGGCCCTATCGCATGACCCACAGGCGGTCACGAACAGAGTTTAAGATATTCATTGCTCCAGTTGTTTGTCGGGTATGCAGATCTTGAAATAACACCCATCATTTTATAAAATATTACTGATTGACATTAATCGTAGTATTATGTAGATATATATATATCACATTATTTTATGTTATTATTTATCATACTATCACCATGACATAATAGCTACCGGTATTGCGCGAGAAACTGAGATCAAGGTCACGAAGGTTTTGCTGATAATCACGACGCGCCGGAGGAGTAAGTACACGTTCATATATTGACTCCGTTCAAGGATTTATTCTACTGCGAAGAAATCAAAATCGAAAGCGAATCGAACTGAGTTATTCGTGTCAACTGTTTTAGAACATATTACACATAAATCATATTGCAAACTATACCTAAGTAATTATTATATAAAAATTAGAAAAAAAAATGTTGCAAATGAATATTCATTTGATATTGATATTGTGTTCTTCGTTAATTTGCATGATAAAATTATTTCAGAGAACAAGTAAAAGTCGAAGTCAAAATATAAGAACAATATTATTATAATAACGTTTCAATTAAACTGTACAAATATTTTATTACTAAATAATATTTAACTCTTACAAAAAATAAAAATAAAAATAGTTACATAGTATAAAAATAAACATATCAATACAATATATATTATAAAACATAATTACACTTAAATATTATTTATGATTTAAACAGAATTCTCTAAGCGCTGTAACAATAATAGTCTAATGCTACTCAAAATTGTTTTTTGACCTCTTCGTATTTGGCACCAACCTCTATTTTAGGAAATTATTTTCTATTGAGAAAAAGCAATTAATCATGACGGACGTCCAGATTTGTTATTTAACACCGAAAAACAGCAAGAGCCAGAAGCAAAGTGAATGAAGCAGATGAGAAAAGATACGCCGTAAACTTTTGGCTGACTTTCAAATTGTGATTTCGGTTAGATGATATAAGTGAACAAGTGAGTGTATAGACAATGCACAATAGAAAATCGTTTATGACGTGCTGTAATAATAATAATTGTAGTTGGTATATATATATATATATATACAAGTAGTAATATTATATAATCATATTTGGTATCTACACCAAATGCGCGAAAAATCACTAGAAATGATTGTCGGAAGATTTGAACCGTGATGATTTTATAATTAAAAACGGAATTAAAAATCCGGGAGATGGTTGTTGACGTGCAATGACAAGTCGAGAGCCTTTCTTAGATTTTTTTTATCACATAAGTGTCCGTCACGCAAATGGTATGGAAAGAACGCCCCAAAGATAAGAAAAAGAGGTAAGAAGATAAAAGAAAAAACAATTGTAACAAAACTACAAACGAAACTAAATACCTCATCTACATACTAAAATATGACGTGTATTAAGAGTCGGTCGCATCCCCATACTGTTACAATAATTATACAATATATAAAAGTTAAAATTATAATTAAATATTATTTACAACGCGATACATATAATAATAATAATAATAATAATAATACAAATAATAATAATAATAATAATAATAATAACGAATGTCCCTGATTGTGGCCCAAAATGATGTTTTTTTTCTTTTTCAAATCTTAATTGCGGGCCCATAGATTTTAGGTAAGGAATTTAATTTTTAGTGATTATTAAAACTAAATTAACATCTTAATTATTTTTGTACGTATTTTGATATAAAATATAAAATACAACGTATTCACATAAACTAATAATATACGGTGCAAATATTCTAATAATAGGTATAACAATTTTATGAGGAATTCAATTCATTATTTTATACATCACTAAGTATATTCAAATTTTAAGAAAAATAAAAGTAATACCAAATATGTCTAATATATAATCATATTATATTAATTTTTCTATAAAAAAAAATAATTTAAAATTTTTGAAAATTATACTATGGTTCAATGTATTGATTTTTATTTTAGACTCATAACTTTTAAAATTTTATATTTGTATGATGATGATTAAAAAATTTGTGATAACAGCATATTTTTATAATTGTTGTCTTATTTATAGGTTAATACATAATTTTATTAACAAATGTAAACTAGGGATATTAGGGTGCAATTGGGATGTTGAAATTTTCAGGCCGCAATCAAGCATCTCCGATAGTAATAATTATTTGCTCTCACCGGATGATTTCACGAGAATTGAGCGATTGTTGAAAATGAAAAATAATAATAATAATACAGTTATATACAAGTCACGACGATGGGTCATTTGGATTTCCGGTCGCTGATTTTCGGATAATATTATACAATGGCACGCGGGCGACGGCGGTGAGCACCGGTGTAGGTGGTTTAACCCAGGAACGGGTAGCCTCCATATGGGATGAAATTGGGGAACTGTGCAATGGTCGGCTGAACGGCTACAGACTGAGTGACGTACGACGTGACCTGGGTAGGCACCACGGAGCTGGAGTAGATGGTAGTATATGCGGTCTTGGCTCCGAACGTGAGCTTCAGAACCTTGCTGTCGGTTTGCGTAACCATCGACTGAGTGATGATGGGCGTAGATGTGATCGCAAAAGATGGCTGAGCTGGGAACAGTGTCGGTTGCACCGGGAATATAGATTGTTGTTGCTGCTGCTGGGGTTGTTGCTGTGGGAATATGGGTGTTTGCTGGAACTGGAAAAGTGACGTGGGTTGGATCTGCGGAGGTTGTGGCAGGAACGGTAGCGATTGTGGTTGAGGTATAGCTAAAGTGGTAGTGACCAGTTCATAATCGGTTCTAGTAACTGTGCCTACGGGTCGTGAAAGGGTGGTGTAGTACGTAGCACCGCCGTTGACCACGGGCAAGGCGTGCGTCTCAAAAACGGTCTCGTACCGTAATACCGGTCGAGAAGTAGTAATGACTGGCGCTGGTATAGGTGCGTTTGGGTTCAATAGCCTGTACAGGGCCAATTGCTGGAGCTGTTCAGGGCTCATAGTGGGCGCTTGCGGCTGCTGTTGGTATTGATGTGAAGGATGTTCAACTGACGACGAGTTTCCTGACGCAGATGCCATCCGGTTTGCTTTCTTCAACCTCGGTCCATTAACCTTGTCCATCTGTGATAGATCGAACGCCGAGCCTACGTTTGATAGGTCCAAGCTGTCTAAGAATGCCTTGGCTGCGCTCGGGTGCGATGACTCATCGTCATGGTTTCCGTTGTCACCATACTCAAGTTCTAGATGTAGTTCTGACCCGGCCTCGTCAAGCCGCGTATTGAACTCGTTAAGTGTTTTACTAGGCACAAACTGGTACACTTCCATTGGTGGCAACGTTTTGACTGCAGTAACCAACCTGGTTACCTTGTACGACTGGACAAGTGTTACACTACTTGTGTCTGTTCCCCGAACTACTGGCAGGATATGCGTTTTGAGCATTAGCTCGGTAGTGCTAAAGCTCTCAGTCATCGTCTCCAGTGGTGGTGTGGCCTGGTCTGGTGATAGGGATATAGGAGGAAGCGTAGCTAGGCTCGAATCGATTGGCTGCTCGCGGCCGTAGAGGTTGGGCGCCTGGCTGGCCAATATATTCTCGGACAGTGGTTCCACTCTAGTAGGTGCTGGGCTGTCAGTTTGTTCTACCAAGCTCTTTTGAATCGTTGATGTCACCGTTATAAATCTAGTGTTCTTCACAGAACCCACCTGCAAGACACAAAAATATCGCAAATATAAAAACGATTACGTAATGTCACCATTTATTTTTTACCAAAAATGAATTGGCAGATAGTAAAACATACGTTAATAGTACATTATAACTTTTTAACACTTACATGTATAAATATTAGCATTAAATTTAATTACATTCTATGTACGATTTATGCAAATATTTAAAAAATAATTTTTAAATTAAAATCAGTTTCTGAATTTAAATTTAAACCAAAAATTTATTAAATAATTAAATCGACTTTGAAAAAAATTATTAAATATTTTTTAAGTAATATAAAATAATTTTTAGTATAATTTCTTGTGTTTTTGTGTGTAATAAAAGTATTTTTCAAGTTATCATATTCTAAAATTTTAATATTAATTAACAAATTCTTTTAAAGGGATTTTTTTTCAAAATGTTAAAGAAGCAATTTTGTACAATTTCTATGAAATTACTATCCGATGTCAAGTATTATAAAATATTAGTTGTTTTAGTGTTTTTTAATTTATAAATTGAACTATTTAAATTTTTTTCTTCATATATATTTTATCTTTTATAATAACATTATAATATTGGTATATACCATGTTTTAATAATATACATTTGATAAAAGTAAGTAAAAGTAAAGTTGTACTAATTATTTTGTAATTAATAAAATAAAAAAAATTGCTTAACTTTTCAGTAAAGAATTTAAAAAAAAATTAACAATAAATATTAGTATCTTAAGAATATGACTAATGGACAATGACAACTATTTATATATTTTTGAAGTAAAACTATTTTTTATACCATCGTGTTTCAAATTATTTCTAGCTTTCCACATTTATGTTAAAACTTAGAAGTTTATTTATATGCCAATAAGATATATTAATAAAATAATTGAAATAATATACTTGGAATGAGTACGGTGATTTGATTGTAGCAATTTCGTAGTATATGTCTTTGAATTCAGCTGGAGTAGAAATTTCCACTCGGATAGTCTCAGCATTCGCTGTCGGGCTCACATCTTGAACTAAAACATCGTTGTCATCATCGTGTTGTAAAGCTGGTAATAAACCTGAACCAGCCAATGCTTGGTCTCCGTTGTCAATCTGTACGTCAGGAAAATGTGGTGTCAATGGTGTTGTAGCATTTTCCTGTCCATGACGGTTTTCATCAATACGACGAATGGTAACACGAGGTTTGGGAGAAGTTTTGTATTCCCAGCGTCCAGTTGGTCGTATGAGTTTGGATTTGAATGTCAATGGAGCTGTAGGGATAGGTTGTGGGCTAGATTGGGGAGATTGCTCTTGTTGTTGAAAATGCTTTTTGAAAGCTCGACGGTTGGCTGGTGTGACTACAGCTGCACTCGTGTTACTGTCGTAACGCTTAACACTTGGCTGGAACCTTCTTTGAGTGCCGGATACTTCAGTTGATTCTACTTCTGGCTCACTAGTGGTTGGCCTGTTAAATCGGTTTTGTTTAAAATTGGGAACTCTCTGTGTTGAAGTTGTAACTTTCGAGGTAAATTTAGATCCTTTCCTGTAACTCGGAGTTGTAGGTTCATTTTGAGCAGAAGTAAATTCGTTTTGTTCATCATCGGTACTCAAATAGTCTTCGAATTCTTTTGATTTACTTTTTGGTGTAGGCGTGTACTTGTTTTTATTGAATCCTCCACCTATAGCCGGCCTCCTAGATTGTCGAACTAAAATTGAACCGGGTTGGGAGCCTACTAATGACTCTAAAGATTCGTCATCCAACCCTGAGCTAGCTGGAGTAGCTTCAACGTTTGGTGATCTGGTAGAAGGCTTTGGTGCAGCTGTTTTTAGGATTCGAACACCGGATGCAGATGGAGATATTTTTACAGCTACTTTTTTCGGTGCTTTATTTGTTGTAGGTTCTTCTTCTGTATTAAAGTTTGCTACTGAGTTGAAAGCACGGAGTTTTCCATCGGGACCTCGACTTTTTTGAACGAGTACGTGTCTTGATATGCTAGGTTTTAAATCTATTACTTTAAATGTCTCATCCACAACTTCTGATGGCTGTCGAGATAAGAAATCATATTCTGGCGTCGGTTGTAAATTGTTTATGGCCACTTCCTCGACCGGTTCACCAGAAATCACTTCTACTTTACTGTAAATTGCTTTTTCCACTACTTTTGATGGTTCTGGAGTATTTCCCTCAATAACTTCTACTTTAGTGACGATATTTTCTATAACTTTAGAACCATCCAAAACTATAACCTTTGAGCTTACTGATGATTCTTTATTTGAGATTCCAACTGGTTTTGGTTTTTGAGGCGATGGCGTAGTTGGTTTCGTAATTGTTTTTTTTGTTGTTACTGGAGTTCCTGTTGATTTTTTTTCTTGTTCAGATTTTTTTACTGAACTTTTTGTTGTTGGTGGTTCTTTTGTAGTTGTGGTAATTGGTTCGGTAATAGTTGTTTCCTTTGTAGTCATTATAGGCTCATTCGAAGTCACAATTATATCTTCATTTTTTGAATCAATCGGTAAATTTACTGGTTTACTAGGAGTAATTCCAATAGACTCAGCTTCTAGCTGTTCTTTTGTTATAGGTTTTTCTTCGATAGTAGTGATTGTAGCTTCTGTAGTTAACGGTGCATCAACTGTAGTACCTAATAAATAAGATTTATTTTATTTATACATAATCATTTTTATTAACGTTCTTTATTTTTATGGTTTAGTATTTACCTGGTGAAGCAGATGCACTTTGTGGCATAAATACCATAACAGTGTTACCAATCGTTGTAGTAAAGTCCAAAAATCCATATACCGTTTGCGTGATTTGAGAATCTGATGACACTACTTGCGAAGCGATAGATTCAGGTTTTTCATAAACTAAATCTGGATTGATATACACGGGCCCTGGTGATGAATCACCGTTGACTAACCCAAACGCTGAAACTAAAACATGAGATACTATAAACATTGATTTAAATTACTGTAAACATATTTAATAAAATTGTTTCTTAAAAATATTTTTACTTAAATGATCCGTAATAAGTACAAGGATTATTTTGCCTATAAATAATATAACTATTTCAGTTAACTATAAAATTATTTTCAAACTTATAAATTAATACGATTTAAATTAGAACATGATATAATATTTATATGTATAAACGTATTTTATAGATTAATCGTTTATTATTTCAAAGAAATATTATAGTTTAAAATAGGACTGTCAATTATAAAAAGGGTTCGAATTGTATAGAGGACGATGTGAGAAATTGATAGTAGCTAAATCCGAGAGATCGTAAAATTATTACTGATGATAGATAAATACTCGTACATGGTGGATAAACAAAATGCCGTTTAGTTGTGGATTCCAATAACATAGGACACTATGCACTATTGCGTTCGAACAATAGATGGTCATTAACTCTATATACGTTTTATGCATATATACATTATACATATTAGAAACGTTAGTGTTTATGTGTATTTATGTACGCTTGTGTCAGCGTATGTTACTCGACCATGGAAATTTATAACTGCTACACGTTGACTGGGGTGACAATAATATAATGTAATCATAAAATATACGGTTTGTGAGCCGAACAGTAGAATTCGTTCTTTTTGTGCTCACCAACACGCTTCTCCATTAAATATGTATAGTTGTCTATACACTGTAACGTTGGAATTTATATATAATTATAAATCTTATGTATTGATTATAAAAAATATGAATTAAATTCTAATTATATTTCAATGGATGATTTTTTTCGCTTTGTCAGAAAAAATATAAACAAATGATAAAAGTCAATCCTGAAAAAAAAATCTAAAAATATTGTAAAATTTTTTTTTCTAGGCTGTTGTGTATAATTAAATTATCAAAATTTAAAATTTACTTGCATTAGAATCATTTTAGTTAAATATTTGACGTACAATTAAATGAGATTATTAGAATATAATAATTAATAAAACCATAAAATCAACTTAAACATTTTCTCAAACACCAGTTGAACATTTAATAAAGATAACATAAAATAAGCAAAAACATGTGTTAATCGTTGTTTATGAAATAAATAAAAATAAATTAAAGATGTAGAATAAATTGGTTTCCATATTACAGAAACATTAAATTTCCAGCACAGCACTATGATTGATGATTTGTGACTTATTACATAATATATAAGGCTATTCGCTATTTTATTAATGAAAATAAAAATTAAAGGTAATGTACCTACATATAACTGTTAAGTCATTCAATAACAACTTTAATAATATATAATATATACCATATACTTATTAGAAACAAAATTTAATATAATAATACACTTTAAGACAAATAAAAAAATTGGGAACATTTTTCTCAACACCTAAAAACAGAATAGTGAAATTCACCTTCTTGAGATCAGTTAAACGAAAAATTTTAACTACTTTAAAACGAAAACCTATAATGGAAACAATTATTTTTTAATGGGTTATATGCATTAATGTCTTAGGAGTATTTAATTTTTCCAATGATTTTAAATTAATTAAGTAAATTAAAGAAAAATAAAACACAACTTCTCAGCTATTTTATTTTTATAATTTTCTATAAATTTATTAACATTTTTAGTTAATTACTAGCTATCAGGATAGGATGTATTGACATGGAATTTTCAGTTTGAAAAATCAAATTTTACTAAATTATCAACTATTATGGGTATTTGTTATAATATGTGTTATTAGTTTTTTTTTTCGAGTTCACTAGACCGTACAGGAGTCCAAATAGACCCGAGAAGTGCATTTTGAGATCACGATCTTGCTCGCGGTTCATGGCCCCATAACATAGCATGCTCTGAACTGTGTCAATACTTAATAACATGCTTTTTGTACGCCTGGACGAACTATGCGCTTGAATTCAACCACACGTCTACGCTGGATTTAACTAACATTAAATAGATCAATGATAATACAAATAACAACGATATTGTTTTTAACTCACGTGAATTTTTATTATACGAAATAATTATTTTAAAATTAAAACTATGTGTAAGTGAAAGTTTAATGAACAAATTTTATGACATATTACTTGGTTACAATTTTGTTGGTATTAGATTTTCCAAGCTTCGAATTAGCGCACTAGTACAACTGGACATATAATTATGAGCAACTATATTCGACATGAATACTATTACTATAAAAAACAATTACAATAATTGATGGCACTTATGAAATAGGGGTTCGTTAAAAGTTGTTGTTTTATCATTTTATGATGTGTAAAACATATACTATACACCCGAAATGTATAGAAAATAAGATAAGTAAATGTTAAAATGTAAATTTTAAAATAATATAGAAAACCAGAAACTATTTTCAGTTGAGCATTTTTAATTCACTGTGTGTAGATAAATAAATTGTTCAAATCAATAAAATTTGTTCTGATCTTTTTGAACATTTAATAAAAATATTATTGTATGAAATTTGATACGTGAAAAAAAGACAGAAAACTCTTTCCTTAAGTATATACCAAAAATAGAATTTATTAAATAAAATTGATTGAATATTTATTATTGTAATTTTTAATTTAAAAAAATCATTTCAATATGTTCACCATATCGTTAAAAGTTCCACCAACTTAGTTCAGGTATTGCTAATATAATTTAATTTGTTCAATGACTGCAGGTTGAATATTTATACTTATTTTTTAGCGTACATGTTAAAATTAAAAAAAAGTTTTATAACACTAAGAACGAAAAATGAGGAAAACTGCTGTCAACAGCACCACAACTTATCCAAGGGTTACAAAACATGTTTCTATACAACAATATGCAAATAAACCTAAATTTAAGGAAAAAAAAATTAATAGCTGATGACAACATTTCACTCATTTCAAAACTTTTCATATATACCATAATACATTTTCTATTGAAAATGTGCCAATAAGTTCCCAATAATCCACTAGAATCAATGTTTATAATGAGCAAAATATTATAATTTAATAGTTTGGATCTATTATTCATTCCGTTTTTAATATCATAGATATAGTTACTGATTACAAAGTATTTCACGGTTTTTATACATTAATTTAAATCGAGAAATAATACAACAGTAACTTACTTGGTTCTGTGTAATTTAATTTGTTATTTAATAAGCTAAACAAAATGAAATTAAGAAAGTTTGGAGTTATAACTGACAATAGACAGAAGAATACATGTCAAGTTGTCTTTAAAAACATTGAATCTTCTAAACTATCATCTAGAATTAATTTATTTTTTAATAACTCACAGCTGTGTTTCTAGACAGCGAAAATAATTATGAAAATTATTTCAATCACCAATATTACAATATCTTTTAAGTTGTCTTAACAGATGGTACAAAATTATATTGAACTAAAATAAATATTAACAAGAAAAAAAAAACATTTTAGTTTTTATTGAAAAACAAATAAATAAAATAAATATTAAGTAAATAGTTTTTTTTAAAACCAACAATTTTATGAGGTTTTTTTCCTGTTAATCAATTTTAATGTTGATTAATAATTTTTTTTAACAAATAAATAAACGTTTTTACATTTCATTTTTTTTTCTGTATTAAAGATTTTATTGGAAACTAGATATTAAAAAAAAAAAATGTATCATTATTACGTTATAGTGTTCATGAAAACAATAATAAAGAAAATTCAAAAAATTTACCCAAATTATATTTTTGAAAAAAAAAAGAATTTAATTTCCATTCTGTACCAACAATATATGCACGCTTTCAGATTAATGGAAAAAGTTCACAAACCACTTTGATATTAGAATAGTGTTTTCACTTAAAATAAAAATAAAACTGCTGTACCTAGAAAACAATAGCCCGAATAAATATGAAATAACGATTTTTGTTTTTGAGTACATAAAATTAATTTAGCATCAGGTGGGCGTTGCAATTAACTTTACTAAAAACATGTAAAACACATTAAAAGTTCACCAACTTTAGTAGTATAAAATGAACTTCTAATAATTTAATCAGTAGATGTAGTAGTATAATATTAAATATATTATAATATGCAGAAAATACATCAATAAAATATACAGTATATTTAATATTATATTATGTCAACCACCACGAAATTTTGTACACAATAGTTATTTAAAATGGACGATAGTTTGTACAATATCAAAACTATGATGATCGTAAAAAAAAAGGAAAAATATTACCACAGCCGTTTTTTTAAAACTTTTACGCGGCTACGTATAGTAACTAATCGAATAAGGAGTTTTCGTGCTAGGCTGTAATTTTTTCGAAATTTAAGATTATTTTAAGTATATACTCGTATGATGAAAAATTAGATAAAAATGTCAAGCTATTATAGAAACAATTTACGACGATAATAATATTGATAATCATATTAGGTTATACATAAGTTCTACGCTTTTTAGCGACCTTGAACCGATATTGTTTCCCCTGACCTTAATTATACTATCACAACTATTTAACACTAAAAAGAATATTACAATAATGTAAAAATTATGTGAGCCAGGATAAGCTGTTGCGCTGCTCAAGGGTGTGTGTCGTACATACATTATTTAATAAATGTGTGTGAGAAACCTATGATTTCTTCATGTTCACATCTCACGCTTGTAATAATTTCGCTGCATTTTTTAAATCTCATAAACGTAGTTTTTAGTGGTATTTATCATTTAAATTAAATTTGCATTGTACCAGGCGCACAATGGCCAAGGCGGATTCGTTGATGAGATTTATGAGTACAGCGCCGCAAATTTGAGAGAAAAAAAGATCGCACGAACCCGACCTGCGACCTAGATCCACCAATGACATCGGTGTATAATTAGACCAGGGAGACTCAATGACGACAAAGACGATGATGATGAGGAAGATGATGATGATGATAATGATTATCGTGTGTGCGAAAATGTATTCTCACGCGCAAATGACGATATACCATTGTTATGACTAACCCATTATACAAAACGTTAAACGATCGAAATCTGTGGTAACGATGAAATGTAATACACTGATCATAACGGCGATTATGATGATAATAATAATAATGCTAAAATATAAGTATAATAGATAAGTGGTAATGTCAGTACAAAAATCTTTCATTCTGGTGAGCTTATTGGCCGGGGTGTAAATCGTTATTGTTGTGCTCATCAAACGGTCTGACCGACTAAATCATGATTATTTTCTATCTACTTTTCAACGCCGTATAAACCATAACCAAAATTACTATAGTCGAACGACAGTTCTCCATTTTTACGAGCCCATTAGATCATTTTTTATGAATTCAGAATAACTACTGATGATAATTCAAAGTTTGTCGAACCAAGGAGCTCAATTATAATATGCATACAATTTACACGGATTGAACCGCAATCTGTGTTTATATTGTGCAAAAGTGCAGTAAAATGTGTCAATGAACTAAAACATATTCTCGCTCTTTATTGTTATTTAAAACACTGTCCCACGAGACTTTAATTCCAAACAGTTTATTACGATTCATCGATATAGTACGCAAAATTGGTCTATTGTAATGCTCTGGTAAAATATTGTAAGATATTTCTTCTATAAGCTGAACCAAATCGAAACTTTAATTTATAAAAAAATAAAAAAATATTTTTAATCTGTTTAAATTATACAGCTTAGTGATCATAAAAAAAAAAAATATAGTTATTAAAATTATAACGATACGAATACAGACACATATTATATATATAATTATATTTATAGCATACTCTCGAGTAAAATAATTCAATTTATCAAAATAATAATTTTCATTATTTATTAATCTGTGTAGTATACGCCTGATGGCTTTTATATTTATTATTTCATGTATCGCATTAACTTATTCACTAACTAAATTTAAAAAGAAAACACAAACAACTTGTTTTATAAAATGTAATTTACGCATATTTAGAACTACCTATAATGATTCAAACAGACAATTTTAATTATCAGTTTATGAATATTCGTATGTCTTATTAGAAACTAAAAAGTAATTTATACTTAAGCTTATAAGATCTGCTATCGCCTATTGGATATTTGTATTGAAAATTTTAAATTACATTATTATTTTCTATAGATACTCTTATACTGACGTATTTTCTACGTTTATATTTAACTATTTTTTACCGTAACCTATTTCGATGACAAAGCATGCCTAATTTAACCCAGTCTGGTTATGTATATTTGAATGTGGTTTTATGAAACGTACAACTCATTTTTGATCCAGTAACGTATCTAAAATTGTGTAACTACAATGATGTATTATATTGTCTAAGGTTTTTGTAAGAAAGCTTAAAAATTTTATGATATTTATTTAAAGATTGAAAATTGAGGACATATTTGTATGGTACTAAAAAAGATAGTTTTTTTTTTTTTTCAAATCTTAGAATACAATTCTGAAAATCATCAAAAAAATTATGGAAAACAAAACCTTTAATCAAAATGCTAGGAAATGTAATAGTAAAAAACTAGATACAACCATTTACTTTAAAAGTAATAGTAATAGTATTTAGAAAGCGAATTTTATTTTATTAAGAGGTTATCTGAACATTAACATTCTTAAATTGGATGCGTTATAAATAATTGCAATGTTTTTACAATAGGTTGTACATCTACCAATGACATTTTTTCATATGGATTTAGTTTAAAAGGTAACTGTAACAACATAGTTATACGACATTATTCTATATAATTTACCGTATAGGTATAAATTATAGCGCAACAGCATAAAATATATACATATATATAAATTAAAACCTTAAGTGCGCTTACTAATTTATACTGAACAAGAAACGTGTGGAGGTATAATCGACGAAGTAATCAATCTTACTAACTATTAGTATTTATTAAGCGTAACATTTTAATGAAATCGTCACATATAATGATGTGTGAATGACGTTACAGCGTAATTTCTATTGCAAATGATGTCGTATTGATAAACGATGATGACAGGCATGGATTCAATTCCACAGAAGACATTCGTGTCTCATATTGGATTGTGTACATTATACTTAACCAATAATCAGACACACTATCGTCAACAAAAACTGTTGATAGTTTCATTTAAAATCTATAAATTCTATCATAGAAATCACTTAAAAAAAAGTTTTAACATGTAATGTAACGGTGTGCGGTTTTCATATCAATCACTATGCCATTAGGTATAGTAATACGTATCGTATAACTTATAAAACATACCCGTTAAGCTCACTTAGATAACGCATCAAATATCGAATTACGACTGAATAATGTCTAGTTTCAAAATATTATAGGACTTAAGTTGAGATGTTAAAATTATTACTAAAATATAGGTAAGAAAATTGCGTTAGTTACGTTTTATTGCGTTTAAAAATTACATACACTAAAGTTATTTTATATTCAATGTTAATCCATTTAGAAACTATTGTAAAAATTTAATCATACTGATTCAATACAGATACACTTTAGCGACTAGTGAAAAGATATTTATATATTTTTCAATAAGAAAAATGATATATTTGTTATTGGGTGTGTAGTATTTGAAACTGAATAATTAAATACCAAAATTTTCAAATTAAAAATTGTTTAATATGAAAAGCATCTTGTTATATAATTTACATAAACGTAATATTTAATAAAAAAAAATAAAATTTTGATCTTTACTTGTAAAATAAATAGCAGTAGAATTATAAATAATTAATTACTATTTGTAAATATAGAAATATTAGTATGCTTAACTTATTAATACAATTAATTATTTTTATGATTTTATGCCAGTATCCATAATTTTAGTTCAAAACGTTTAATAAATTTTAAATTATAATCGTTTTATTATAATGACTCTATAAGTTCAATATAATGATTAAGATGTACAAATGTATTTTATTATGTAAATAATCAAATATTTATCTGTAGAATATTTAAATAATACACTGATAAATTTAATTTTAACAAGAATGTTTATTGAAAAACATTAACTTTTCACTTAAATTTTTTCTTAACATTCATACACATTTGAAAATTTTTGAAATGTATTAGTACTCTTTTAAAATAATCTCCCATTATGCAAAATAATTAATAATAATGAATTTCTATACTAAAAATGATATATCATGAGTAATAAACGTTTATTAATTTTCACACTTTATTGTAAATAATTTGTATATCATACAATTATTTTTTAGTAGTACATTTTTGCTTCATGTAATTAAAGTCATACTAACAACCATTAAATTATTATACTGTTGTTTACCCAGTCAAAGAGAAAAATACTAATTGAAATATATTTTATTATTTTTAAAAACGTCACATTATATATTATGCAAATTTATGTATTTTTAATTTATAATAAATAACTTACAACATACAAAAAAAAAAAAAAAAAATGTTTTTTGTTTGTCTCGATCACCGTTGATACTTTATGTGTAATATTTTTCGAAGAACTATTATTGCAACTGAGTACCCTCAACTTGATTTTGATTACCTATACTATAGTAAATTTTCTAAAAGTCCGAATCGTCAAATTCCTATAAAATACATTCCTTCCTATTTTTACATAGTTTTGAGCTGTGACTGTCACATTGGTAAAAATATAAATGTGTTTCCAATAATTAACTATTTTATTACAGTAAAATATCACTAGCACTAATTAATTCATTACATTTAATGTCTCAATAATAACCACAAATACATGTATTTACCATATGAAACAATTATTTTGAAATTTTTTTTAGAAAGCTTTGAATAAATTATATATTTACTCACTTTTTGTCAGCAGTAATACAAAACACAGCGAAAATGTTTTCATATCGGCGGATATCATATTGACGAACACAGACGACCAAATATTGCGTGTCAATGTGTTTATTTTGTGTTTTTCAACTCTTTTCAACTGTGAAATGACAAAGTGTATAATAATATATACACCTAGATAGTAATCACGTCTGCGTGTATCTCGGATGCCTTTCAGTGTTGTAGTCTTCGCCTACAAGAAGTCATCTCAACAAGCCAACTGGCAGTAGATATATATGTGCGAAAATCTGAAACGAAAAAAACAAAGATAAACGTGAAATTATAATCAAATGTGAATTACTACTAGTATATATTTAATTAAAAACCACAGAAATACCAAGAATTTTTAGTATAAAGAATTCCACGTAAAAATTATACACCAACCATAATATTTTTTTTTTAAATTATTCATTTTTAAATGTCGTTATACTTAGTTTATGTCAGAAAATTGTTATATTATATAACATGAATTATAAATACCTACTGCGATATTAATTGGGACGTATAAATCGTAATTCTCACACCTTTATCTATAATTTAAAAGCTGATGTATAATACTTTTCTAAAGTTATTGATGTACAAAATAATATAATGCCATTCATATTAAGCTTTTTATTATTATTATTCGTAAACATTTAAAGTATATATGAGCATGTGTCATGCAATCAATTTATCTTTGTGCCTATAATATAAAAACCCTTAACATTTATAGACAAATGAATTGGCACAAGTATATAATAAACTATATTTTATACGTTACAGAGTATAGAACGACTATATAAAATGAGACAATATAATGATATATTCAACATTTTCATATAAACGAGTTTTTTGAGCGAAAATCTAATAGGGTGTCGCTCTCCAGCCAGAGGCGTATACGGAGTGTATATATATATAAAGAGAGACAATGTATATATGTATAGTTGGAATAGCTGGGAAAAATGAAGAAGATATTTCCTGGGAAATTTAAAAAAAAATGTATATAGGTACCTACATATAATAATATTGCTTCGGTATTTTTTCCACTCTTCCGAGTAAAGTAAAGCGCTTTTTTTATGTATCGCGAGTAATACCACTACCACTGCCACTATAATACCATTTCTACCACTACTAACACTACAATACGTGTTCTACGTGCACGCGCTTAAATGTATGTGTGTGTGTGTGTATATGTATGTATGTATATAATATATATATGTATACATTATCGACGTCAGACCCGAAACGGACCTATCAAAAAACGGAACGACGGCGGGCACGCGAAACCCTCGTGGCTGATGTACCGTAAACGCGTGCATACGTTTAACACCGTCGGATTTGATCCCCCACCATTCCATCCATTCCTAACTACTCCATACCCACACGCGAGTACACCGATCTGGCATATACGAATACACACGAAAGTAGATCCTAACAAAGGCACTTTATTAGTTTCCGGGTGCGCGGGTTTTGCGGGTGTGTGCGAACAAGCGAACGTTCTATATAATGTGCGCTGATCGTATTTTCCCTAAAGACATATAAGCGGGTCGGTAGCGAATGCGGGTGGACCGTGGAAATACAACTTAGGGTCGATGGCGAAATTGGCATTTTTGTTGTTTTTTTCACCACCCCCTCAAACCCACCACCAGCACGAACATTTCTTCCCCAGACGCTATTTTTTTTATTTTTTTTTACAAAGTACGCGTTTGCTCCCTTTCAATTTGCAGTAAATCCGAGTGCGACAGACGTTATTTACATACGCGTGATGCTTAAAATGGCCACGGAATAACAACGCATACGACCGACGCTCTCTTGGATGGACGCTTTAATCCTCGAAGCCGGAACGTTTATAAATTATTTTAATGACGTCAAACACGCGCATCATTCCAGTTCGGATAATTTAAAATTTTTAATAATTCACACGATATTATACGTTGAATTTTACGCATGAGCGTATGATTTGTATTAAAGTTTATCTATATTAATAAAATATGATGTTTGTGTGTGTGGGTGTGGGTATGTTTAAGCGGTTCATGGTCTAGTCAATTACACACATCTAGTGTTCTAAAATTTACTAGTTCTACATAGGTAATCCAATACTTGAGTTTGTATACTTTGAAATCAATATTTAAAAAACAGTACCACACAAGATTTATTAAAATTAATTAAAAAAAAATAGTTATCATAAATATATATATGATTTTAGATGTAATTTATATTAAATAAAAAACACCCAAATTAATAATATGTTAAATATATATATATATATATATATATATATATATATACTTGTAGTTTTAAATACAATCAATCCACTGACATTTGTCACGAGTTACGTTGTAATGAACAATATACAATTATACTGACATCGGAAGTGAGTGGCTGGTCATTGCGGGATTACCAATTTGGTAATAGTCATATTTTGTGTCAAGCTTGAGTTAATGTGCATAACTGTTAACAGATTTGAAGAGTAAGATATATTAACTAATAAATAGTTAACTATTACTTAAGTATATATTTTTTTATAAATTGCACTCACTCTACTAATAACTGTATAATAATATACATGAAATAAAATTGTCAATTTTGAGTTGATACGCCTATAACATTAAATTAATATTTTTATTTTTTTTTTCCATCTATATATGTTATACGTTATCTTCTAACCTGATGTAAGACTAAATTATCTAATTTTACCGAGTTCCAATAGTTGTTCGATTAAAATACTTAAAATATCTATTTTAATGAACCATATAAATATAATTTTGTCAAGACTGCAGTAGGTCGATAAAATATTTACCAATAGTATAACAAACGTGTTAATAAAGTTATTGTTTTACGTGTTTATCAGGATATTTTATTAGGTGTGTCGTGTGTATATTATTGAGAAATTTCACAGTTTCAGCAAAAAATTATTTTACAGTTTTCACCATAAATTAATAAAATTAATGTCCACAATACTATAAGATATATAAGGGATTCAATCCATGTATTTTACATAACTTTGAATCCAAGTTGATGATATACAAAATAAATACTATGTTTACTTGCACATAAACATAGTGTTTGAAAATCAATAGCTTTAAACTTTAAAATATCCAATGTACAACGAATTTTAACCGTTGGTTTATGCGATTAAACCTAATCGAAAAATGATAAAGTTTAATTTTAAATTAATTACTTTCAAATTAATTATTGATTTATATTTTGAGATGATAGAAGTTTCGGAATAAGTGATGTAATAGGTAGGTGAGGAAATTTTCTTATTAATGTAATACCTTTTATGAGGTAGGTAGAAAGTGCGACATTCTAAGGCGGTTTGCTAATTATTAGTATAATTTAAACAGTTATATAAGCATCCGTTTTAAATTAAATGAAATAGTATAAAATAGGTAATTACAAGTTGTTTTTTTTTATTAAACCAGTAAATATTGTTTTTTATCACATATCTACTGTCTGCTAGTTTTAACGACAAAATATAGGATTTCTAAAAATTGCCAATGAATTAAAATTGTATAACGCTACTTGTATAATAGTAATATATTATATTTTATATGTATTTGATCGTCTTGATTTTTTAAAATAACAACATTAATTCTACGAATGCAATACAGTCGTTTTAATATGTTGATATTGATCCGCAATATTATTGATAGCTTACGTTTACCGAGATGATTTTATCCAAATTATATATTAGTCTTATATCATATTGGAATGTTATTCGACAAAGATAAAACAAAAATAAACATCAACTAAATCGATTTCTGCGTTTAAATTCAAATTAAATCGATCTCTGCGTTTCAATTCGAATTCTATTGTTTGCAAAAGCTTTTATTAAAAGGTACAACGATAAAAAATGTATCCAATTGATGTCTCCAGGAAAAAAAAAACATTGTGACTGTTACAAAAAAACCTATCCTCTGTTTACAGTTCCATTGTGAAAAATCCATAACACGTCGGCAAAAGAATGATTTCGACGAACGTTGATTTGTGAAGCTCGTCACAAAAATGTTAATAAAATAGAAATAAAAAATATATCCTCGCTTAATTGATAATGAATATTGATGAAAATATTTACTCGGAATCTATCACCGCCGTGACGTCTCTGACCGGTATAATATACGATTTACTCGTACATATTGGATTTATATCGTAATGGTAAGAATCACGTTCTGCACACTTGAATTTAAATACGTTCCGGGGGCCGTCTTAACATTTGCAATATTACCATTATTATGTAGAGATTTATTAAATATAAATGTGTGTACTGTACAATAAGTATTCGATCATTGCATTTAGCCATAATACATACATAATATATTATGATTGAAATTTATAGTAGCTTGTGGATTTGTTTGTATAAACGTTGATGAACAATTAATAAGCGATGATTTTTAAGCGGTTTTGTGTTTGAAAAAAATAAAATTATCAAAGACAATAAGGTTTGGTTAAGACCTGAAACAACCATCGACAGACGAAATTTATTACCCATCGGCCAAAATCTTAACACATAATACTAATATACTGGTTCCCGTATGTTCTGACGAAAGGACATACACACGACCGATTACTTACGTCACGTCAGGTCTAAAAATCCTGAAAAATTAGTCAACAGCAATAATAGCGACAACGATGGAGAGTCGACTGGACATCGATAATAATATATAATAATAAAATGTATGTAAACACTGGTGATAAAATCAACTTACGGTCGTAAATTATACGTGGATTACGCGTAACAGGTAGTCCACAGTCACAGCGTGCAGAGATAATTTAGATAAAATTTCCGATTTTATTAGTTTTTAAATTACATACGAGCACACAATATAAGCATGTCACATACATATTATATATGTGTGCAGCCGTGTTTTTCTGTAAATTCCTCGTTCCTTACCGACAGCCGAATGTCGTTTTTTTAACAACTTACTTTCACCCAATCATCGTGCAACCTTATGAGTAATAAAACTCAAAAACTAATAAATAAAAATCACAAAATAGCGTATTTCATAGGATTTTAGTATAATAATATTATTATAATAGGTAGATAATAACATAATAACAGATTTAGATTTTATTTTCGTTATCTCTTAATTGTTTGGCTATGCTAGTTTTCGACGGAGAAACATCATGGTATACATTATATTAACTAATAATTCATTCAAGATGTTGTATACCAATTTGTAATCTATGGAATGAGAACATATATCAAAAAAAAAAAAATAATATACATATATATATATATATAATATCGTATCAAAAATTCTATATA